CTGGTGGATCCTATACTATTGGAGGTGCCATTTGGAGGTCCACCTGATCAGTAAAAAGAATTCTCGCCGTGACGTCTGCCTCTCCCGAAGTCGTCTTACTACTGAAATGGATGGAATGGGCATCTGGTATGGGTGTCCCCACTGCAATGTCAAACTCCACCAAATCGACAATACGTGTGGGGTTGGCTAGTCCAGGATCTTCGTGATCGGATGGGTGTATGGCCATCTCTACGTCATCCGTTGCCTCTTCATGCATCGACTCTTCTGCATCAACCACAACATCATCCTTTCCAATATCGGCACCTGCACGTTGATGGTCATCAACATCCCCATCATGCTCGGGGATAACATCGGATACTAATGGACGTGACAGGTGGACTGTATCCGACGGAAAGACACCAATATTCACCTCGTGCCTATCGATCTGCAAACGAACTAACGTATTAGCACTTCAACCGAATGAAGATATATAGTATACCAAGTCAAAGAAAAGGCTACCTGACACAATCGTAGAAGCATGACTTTAATTTCACTCAAGTCCGACTTGACCTCCGCCAAATCCGTCTTGACCTCCGCCATGTCCAAAGCTAAAAGATCCAGCCTTCTCTCCATAGCCCCGAATCTATCGTTTGATCCATGGGTGTCGTCCTGTTGTGTAGGGTAAGCATCGCGTGACGTCGCTCGCGGTGCTTGCCTCGTGCTTTGCCCCACATTCAAACGAATAAAAGTACTTGGTCGAAGTACTTCGACCGACGTCTGTTGCCTACCTTCAGACGCGGCCTCTGTACGTGGCATATCTGAAGATTCCTTCGGCACTGTCTGTACATTCGTTTCCAACAACTGCGCATCGTCGAGCGGGAGATCGTCTTCGGCGCCAAAATTGTCGGTGATGGGGGAAGAATTTTGTCCATCGTCACTGTCGGAAGTGGAACACTCAGGCGCATTCAAATCAACCACCTCTCTTTCGTCCAATGGACACCTCTAGTAGTCCCTCTCCAGCTCCGTCTCCACGAGTGGATAAGATGTGACCAACTGAACGTACATCACAAGAACATAACTGTAAATACCATTACAACTACACAACAATAAATATATTCTAGATCACTTACCACTGCTGAACCAAGGACCTCCTCCCCCAGATCTTTTGTACCGACAACTCTACTGCACGAATACCGAATTATCCGGGGAATCGCGGTCTCGCTCAAACGATTGACACCGAGAGTGAGGAGAGATGGGACAACCTCATATATCCACACCTGAATATAAAATTTCAGTTTAGTCTCACACCTAAAAAAGTTTTCACAAACAAACACAAACTCGTATGCATACATATTAATTACCTAAAACACAAGCGGAAATCTCGGTATGCTATACTTTACTTGATATTTTTTGTTCGTTCTTACTTTATTCTTGTATAGCGCAACTTTTCCATTCATCACACGCTTCAGGCCGTTAACTGTCCTACTCCAAACATCAAAACCCCAATCCAAATGGTTGAAGTAGTCCAAGTCATCGACTTGGTTGTACAAGTCGATGTCAACTTTCGACTTGCTCTTGCTCTTTCCCATCATCACAAGCTCCGTGTACAAAATTAATGTCACTTTAACGGCGTCCTCATCGTCCTCAAAATCAGTCTGGTTATAAACCTCCACAAATTCTTCAAGCAGCATGGAGGCTTCATCGTTGAAGTACTTCCTCCGCAACCTATTCTTTCCAATCTTTTTCTGGACCACCTTACCGGGCAGCCGCCACAATCCCGTTATAAGCATGAATGGATCCTTCGAGAATGTCAACACGTTGCCACCAATTAAGAATCTCATGCTGTCGTCACTGCTACTAGCAACCTCCCTTGACAGAAAGTGATGAACTACACCACTGCAGAACATCATCTCCAAGTCGACAAATCGACCAAATATTTCTATGAAATATATCAAGTTGTTCCGCTGTGAGCTTATCCTTGATAAGCCTGTTGACATTGCTCAAGTGAAACATGCTGGTAGCTTGAGCCGGAAAGCAGTCATTCTCCTTAATCCTTATCTGATGGTCTATTGTGCACCTGCAACAAATTGAACAAGATATATGATGACAAATGAAGCAGTTAGAGAAACGAAAACACGCAACTAATTTTAAAATTTAATAATTGAACATGATACATAATCATGGATTAAGAAGATAGGGAAATGGAAACACGCAACTAGTTGAAATAAACAAATGTAAACCACTGGAATTTTTCTCGATCTCGATGATTCTCTCGATTTCGCTCTTTTTATTTCACACGATAATTGTAAATCACTGTAGATTCTCACGTTCTCGATATTTCTCGCTCTCGATCTTTCTAGCTCTCAATGTTCTAGCTCTCGATTTTTCAAGTTCACTTTATTTCTCGATCGCATTTTCGCTCTGGCTATTTCAACATCAGCCCCCCCCCCCACTCGGTATTACTGGTTTTC